GGGTTTTGCTAGCAGTGGTGGATTTTCCGTCCCGAGGACCGGCCCATAGATTTCCACTGCTCTCCTCTCCTCTGCCACATCTATTCATCTCCGCCCCCTGCCTTTGATCCCCAGAGCTAGGGTGGGGTTTTGCTAGCAGTGGTGGATTTTCCGTCCCGAGGACCGGCCCATGGATTTCCACTGCTCTCCTCTCCTCTGCCACATCTATTCATCTCCGCCCCCTGCCTTTGATCCCCAGAGCTAGGGTGGGGCTTTGCTAGCAATGATGGCTTTTCCGTCCCGAGGACCGGCCCATAGATTTCCACTGCTCTCCTTTCCTCTGCCACATCTATTCATCTCCGCCCCCTGCCTTTGATCCCCAGAGCTAGGGTGGGGCTTCGCTAGCAGGAGTGATTCTTCTGTCCCAAGGACCGGCCCATAGCTTTCCACTGCTCTCCTTTCCTCTGCCACATCTATTCATCTCCGCCCCCTGCCTTTGATCCCCAGAGCTAGGGTGGGGCTTCGCTAGCAGGAGTGATTCTTCTGTCCCAAGGACCGGCCCATAGATTTCCACTGCTCTCCTTTCCTCTGCCACATCTATTCATCTCCGCCCCCTGCCTTTGATCCCCAGAGCTAGGGTGGGGCTTCGCTAGCAGGAGTGATTCTTCTGTCCCAAGGACCGGCCCATAGATTTCCACTGCTCTCCACTCCTCTGCCACACCTATTCATCTCCGTCCCCTGCCTTTTATCCCCAGAGCTAGGATGGGGCTTTGCTAGCAGCAGTGGCTCTGATGTCCCAAGGACCAGCCCATAGATTTCCACTGTTCTCCTCTCCTCTGCCTTCTGTGCATCCGCATATCAGGCACTGGAGCCAGCTGTTCCTCCTCTTCCTCATCAGCCACCACCAGACCTGGGGGCTGTTGACTCTCCACCTGAGGACTGACAGACAGCCCAGGCTCCCCCCCCCCTCTCTCTCTCTCTCTGTCTGCCAGCTCCATTCCCATTTCTCCCTTGGAGTTCTCAGGTTGCCTTGAGGCTGACCCTGACCCTTATGCCTCCTCCTCCTCCTCTGATTTGGCTGCTGGACGGGCCGACAGGCTGCAACAGTCAGACTGGAAAGATGCGATGCGAAGCTAGCAGAATTTGCAGCTATGACAGATTCGCTTAATTGTGGCGAGCTAGATCATAAAACAGGGCAACACCTACCTTGCTTAGGAACAGAAAATTTGGCCCCAGTTGTGGTCGTAAGTCAAGGCCTAACTTTATGCCCCCCAGTGAAGTTTCTTCTCGGCGTGGCCTTGAGGAGTTAATTTGACAGGTCTTTAGAATTATTCCACGGGCCTCAACGCTTGGCGTGGCCTGCTAACGCGACTCGCTCTTCTGAAGATGACAGGTCGCAAAGGAAGGGTCGTGAGCAACGACGACGGCAGCATCTCCTACGAGTCGAGGTCGGAACTTGACGTCCCTGTGGAAATCCTAAACATCACCGAGAAGCAGAGATTCATGGCTGGAGATAAGGTACCTTTTTCTCTCTTCAGGCTCGAAATATTTACATTTTCAGCAAGCTAAAAAAAAAAACCCCAACCCTCGTTGGTGCTCTGGACCAACGTAGATTTCTTTCAGAACTACAGTGTCCAAATATAACTGTCCTCTTCTGTTTTTGAAAGTTGAAATTGTTCACCTAAGAATGCAATAAGTCCCATCCTTGCTTGGAATTGGTTTGTGTCAAGACAGGTGTGCTTTGGCCAAGGAGGTTTGGCTTGCACTCTGGCGAGAAAAGTGTGATCAGTGCAAGTTGTTGATCTTAGGAACATAGCAATAGCAATAGCNCGTCTTCAGACAGCGCTGGCTCTTCGGGTTTGAAACGGAGATGAGCACCGCCCCCTAGAGTTGGGAACGACTAGCACATTCAGATTAGAATTTAGACACGGAGAGATAATTCTCTTTGTTTCTTTTTGAGAAAACCTAAAATTCCCAAGGAAAACACACTTGAATTGCGTGAATTAAGTCAGCAGAATCTCTGCAGAGTTTTTTCATTCAGTGTCTTATTATTATTATTCGGTTCCTCCAGATTCCTCCCTGTGGCGATGCGTCTTGAGTTCAGAAAGTCACTTTTTTTCTTTCGCTAACCAACCCTCCCCCAAGTATCGAGCTGCCCCCTTTCTGAAATGTCCTTTCTTAACTTCCGCTTAAAAACAGGAGAAGAAATGACGAGGGAGGTCAAGAAAGCCCGTAAGACTGGCGGCCTGGCCGGGAGCAGTTCTGACGAAAGCTTCAGCGAATCGGAGGCCTCTGAGAACGAAGAGAGCGACAACGAGAGTTCTCGCTTCTTAAGCTCGGGAGACGACGATGACTTCAACCCCTTCAGGGACGAATCTAGCGAAGACGACGAGGACGGTGAGGCGATTTGGGTCTTCCTCATCTTCGTGACTTCAGGTGGGGGATGTGATTTTAGGGTAAAGCTGGTTGGGTTTTGCTTGCCCACTTTTTTCCCCTCCCCCTTTCTCCCTCTCAGACCCTTGGCTGATCCGGAAAGAACACAAGAAAAACAAAGAGAAGAAGAAGAAGAAGAGCATAGACCCCGACTCCATTCAGAGTGCCTTACTAGCATCTGGCCTCGGATCCAAACGGCCAAGTTCGCTCTCCTCCACAGCCGTAACCCCTCCTACGAATGTCTCCGGTAAGTCACCCAAAGAGGGTGTCCTCACCTGTTTTGGTTGCCAGGAAGTTTCTGCCTGGCAAAGGAAAGTTGTAAAAATCTGCAAACAATAGCAACAGCAATAGCAGTTAGACTTATATACCGCTTCAGCCCTCTCTAAGCGGTTTACAGAGTCAGCATATCGCCCCCAACAACAATCCGGGTCCTCATTTTACCCACCTCNTGACTCTCAAGGTTGACTCAGCCTTCCATCCTTCCGAGGTGGGTGAAATGAGGACCCAGACTGTGGGGGCGATAAGCTGACTCTGTAAACCGCTTAGAGAGGGCTGAAAGCCCTATGAAGCGGTATATAAGTCTAACTGCTATTGCTATTGGATGGCCCCTCTGCAGCTCTGGGAAACTTTGCCTTCTGCCTGGACTTGCAGGGGGTACCTCCTTCACCCAGCCCTTGTTTCCCTGCCTTTTTTGTTCCCAGACTTGCTGGGTGGAAAGATGCCCGGAGCCATCCGCTCTTGATGGGTGGGAAGGCTGTAAAGTATGGATTCCCCCCTCCTTTTTTTTGCTAAACAAGGGGAGGGGGCTGCAGTTTGTTCCTCCTGGCTGGCTCAAGAGAAGCGACTATTGTTTCCAGGTCTCTCTCTCTATTGGTGACCTTTCTCTAGCCCTGCCACTAACAGGACTCATTGAGGTTGATCTATGGGGCCAATGCGAGGTCTGAGTGTTCCCTTAGATCCAGCCCTATCCGGAAGTTTATGTTCAACAACACGTGGCAGGGAAGGAGATTTACAAGGTATATTTTCTCTCTTACTGTGCTCCCTTGCACATCAGGGAGTCTTCGAGTCCCTGTGACATTATTCGGGATTATCCTTGATGAGATTTCACATCCTGGCAAGGACAGTTGAGAAGATCTCAGACAAGCAAAGGGCCTGCCTGCCTGATTCCATGCTCATTAAACTCTTTTCTCTAGGCAAAGGCTGGGTTGGTTGTATCGGCTGATGCATAATTTTCTATCCGTTTTGGGAAGTGATACATCTGTGTCTCACAAAGCCAACGCTAATTGTTTGGAAACTAATTTAGTTTCAAACCTTGAAGAATATCACTGCAATCTTCAGGAGAATGCCAGGACCTTTTGTTTTGATAACATGCTCAGTTAAAAAGCGCTCATTCATAATTCTTGAAGGGTTTGGGGGTTGTTGTTTTTTTTGGTAGCTCTGGGGAAATTTTACCTTGGCCTCTGGCAACATAGAACTTTGAGTTGCTACGTGTCTTGGTGTTCAGCTTTTCTTTCATACAACCCTTTGGAAGGGAGTGTAAAAATCTGCATGCTGTGTCACGCTTGAAAATGGAAGTTGGTGGAATCCGGGATTGTCACTGTAGGGCACGTGGACGACAAGGAGATAATCAGAGAAGCTTAAGCTGTCAATTGGGGTGCGTATGTTGCTTTCTAGTAGTGCAGTTTATGGTTCCTGTTTTCTTTTTCAACTTAATTCCTGGAAGCTCATGACCAAAGACAGAAGCTTCCTGTCTTCTTGGGTGACTTCAGAGAAACGGGGCTAAACTTAATGTGAGCAATTTTTTTAAAAAAAAAACACCCTCTATTCCAGCAGAATATTTAGCTACAATGTGATGTAGTCTGCCTTCTAGTAGCAATCAAGGAAAATTTTCCTAGAAAAAAAGCTAAAGCAGACGTCCCTCTGTGAGGCAGATGGGCAGTTCCTAAATATGCTAAACAAACAAAAATGAAATATTTTTGGAGGGGTGGGGGCTAATGGATGCATGAATGTTAAAGGCAATCCAGGTCTTGGGTATTCTTAGGTTAAGGCAAAGGTCTTCAAACTTGGCAACTTTAAGACTTGTGGACTTCAACTCCCAGAATTCTCCAGCCAGCTATGGTGGCTGGAGAATTCTGGGAGTTGAAATCCACAAGTCTTAAAGTTGCCAAGTTTGGGGACCCCCCGGGTTAAGGGGTTACCTTGTTATCTGTGTCCAGCACTGTCAGGCCAGGTCTGCTGTTGTGCTCTAAAGATTAATGGGACATTTCATCATATTTGTATTTTGGATCCATGGTTTATTTACAAAGAAGATTGCTCTTGACTGGGCTGGGGAAACTGGAAGCACTTTGGCATTTAGTTAAACTATTGCTCTTTAGAAAATGACTTGGAGAAGGGATTTAACAAAATAACAGAACCAGAAGGAACCTTGGAGGTCTTCTAGTCCGTCTCGTGTTCCAGCAGGAAACTCTTTAACATTTCAGACAAATGGTTGTCCTAATCTGATTTTCATTCTTATGCAATGATAACTTTCTGTCACATGTTTTAGGTGCTGCTGAACTAAGTTGGGGGAGCTTTTAAGGGATGGCAACCGAGAGGCAGTATGATGCCATTTTAGAAGTGAAACGATAAAAGAAATAATGGTTTAGTAGAAGCAGCTGTCCTGGTGGGAAAAAGCTTATCTCTCATTTGCTCTTGTTTCAGAAATGGTGGAACCAGGACAAGATCTTTTGCTTACAGCTTTAAGTGAAAGTGGAATTAGCCCAAATGACTTGTTTGATATCGATTCTCCAGATATGGGTCTCGCAACTCCATCTCCAGCCATTCAGCAGGTTGGAAAGCTTTTCTACAATTTTGTATTTGTCATGGTCTAAGTAGCATTTGAGTTACTTTTTTTGGGGGGGGGGATGAAATAACCCATTGCTGATACAGTTTATTACTAGGCAGAGAAAAGCTGGTTATATTTTATTTTATCAACCTTAACATAGCAAAGTAACATCATTCTAAACTTTGTTACTTTATTATCTGTAAATGGAAAGCCTTCTTTCTCAGATTTCCTGGGACTTGTAAAATTGGTACTGACCACCTGTGTGTCTGCCATATATCCTGCTTGACATTTATGGGAGTAAGGAATTAAGGCTAGATTTATAATGTTCAGCTTTGGGAAATACACTTTTTATGACTATATTCTGCTGGCCATTTAAAACATTGCATTGACTTTATGTGACATTAATCTCCTTACCAGGTTTCTCTAACAATGTAACGTTGCACTGCAGCTCCTTTTGTCAGTCGCCTCGAATGTGCTATTTGCCACACAATTTTCTCTGAGAAAGTTTTCATTAACCAAAGGTAGATTGACTTCCGTGTAAGGAATACTAGAACCATGACTTGAGTTCAGACAATACAAGAAGCCACACCAAATATTCTTGGCCAGCCCCTCCTTTGAGCTGTGAATTGGGGATTATGGCCACAACACACCCCACTTACTGGTTGTGTTTATCAAACTTGCTTAACCAGAGACAAAGATGTAGCAATTCACAGAGGGCTTGATATCAACTTGGGTTGTGTTTATTTTGTTGCTCAGAGAGTTGTGCCTCACATCCGATTTGTTTGCTTACTTTAACGTTGCAGTTTGTGGTTTGAATATACAAACTGGGTTAAGTCATTAGCTTAGGTGAAGGATTCTCTAGCAGTGCAAATATCTACTATTTGGTCTGTTTACAAGAGCATTTCACGGTGATAAGCTCCAATTCAGATGATCTGCATCGTTCGCTTAAATTATCATTCAGATTTTGTACAGCTTTAAAAATAAGTAGGATTGTGCTAGTGTTGCATTATACATGCACAGTATTTTCTGCTAAATACACCTGAGGTAAAGAAAGTATGTTGTGTTAAATAAACACAGATAGCACCAATCTAACACTACAGTTAATTCTCTTGGGATCAGTATGTCTTAATTTAAAAAAAAAATCTTTCACAATATTTTGAATCAGAGGATACTTAGGGTAGGTTTCCAAACCATTGCACTGAGTCTGTAGAATCAAACCTGCTATGAGACATCATTTCACCTGAAGTCAGGTCAGCCTCATCCTGCTGGCACTTAGAATACCTGCCCAAGCTTGCCTGTTTTTGAAAGACCGATGGAAAGATATTCCTCAGCATAATTGATGCGTCTCTGATGTTCTGTAGGTTTTATTTTACGTTATGGTTCTTTTACTACTTTAATCCTGTTTGCTGTACTGGGCTGCCTGCCGCTCAGAATCACTTATAATCGAAGCAACTTTCACGCCTAAATTAGGAAGAAAAATGCGGTTATCTGTGGTTCTCCTGCAACCACAAGAACGAGTCTCTCCCCTTCCTTTAGCAACCACCTTCCACCACAACCTTCGTCCTGAATCAAATCAACCAGCTGCCCACGCTGGGGACGACCCTCGTCATGTCGAAAACGACCCCCGTGACCAGTACCAGACAGACCATCACCGTAGCCAAAATCATACAGACCAGCACCACCACGCGGCCCTCGGTGACGCTGCCCGTGGCGCGCAACACCCTGACTACTCCCGTGCCCAAGGACCAGATCCAGCTGAAAGACCTCCTCAAGAACAACAGTCTTAACGAACTGATGAAACTGAAGCCTCCGCCCAACATCGCTCCCCCGGTGGCCACCGCGGCGAGTAAGTAGCGGAGTCGTCTGAATGGACGTTGACGGGCGGGCTTTGGGGTAGGGAACGGTGTGTCTCTGACCCAGCTCTCCCAAACAGGACAAAGCCTCATGTTCATTTAGGTAGAGAGAAAAAGAAAACTAAAATGGCTGGATGTTAAAAAACATATTGAGGGTCCCAAATGTTGCCTTTTTTACAGAAATAATACTTGTGTCCCCAAACGTGGTAAACGCCACTATGCTTGGTAAGATCCCTTCCGTTGTTGGAACAGGCTATAGAGTTTCCTTTCTCTCACCCCCCCACCTGGGAAATTCGGTGTAATCTCCATCCAACTTTGGTGCCTTTAGCCTTTGCATCCTCCTGGTAGCTGTGAATTTAAGAGTGGCTTGAAGCTCATCTGCACGGTGGTGTTTTGGTGAATAAAAAGTCTCGTTTACACGGACTTTGAGAACGCTTTATTACATCATAGACATTTTCCTTAATGTTTAATCCTTTGGGACGTTTTCCTTTCAGCCGATATGAGTAACGGTGCTGTTAAAAAGGAGACTTCAACTAAAGAGGTCACCAGGATCTGGGTAAACGATCTAAAAATGAGAAGCTTCTCTCCTACCATGGTAAGTACAACCCCGAATTTATATTTATATGGCTTTATTTGGTTTTTGTTCGTCTCGCGTAATGTTCCTGTTTCAATGGAACCCTGTTCCTTAAACTCTGAAATCCTAGAGCTTGACGTGTTGTATAGACTGATTTCTTTTTCATACTCGGTTTCGTGTATTTGATCATGATATTGCAAGCTTTTTGGGAGAAGTTTTGTAGACGTGCTGTTTACCAATGAGGACCCTGTTCAGCCTTTTTAAAATATAATATACGGACACATTTCAGGCACACATTTCTTTGCTTCAAAGCAACAGAGTATAGGCATAAGTGGGTTATGCAAGACAGACACACACACACACAAAAGTATTTCAAAATCTCTTCTGGTGGAAAATAACTGGACTTAGAAGGAGAACACCTTAAAAGTAGCATTCTGAAACTCAGCGAGAAGACGGTCATGAGGTTAGACGTGTGTGTGTGTCTGCTCACACTTGAACTTTCCTGCTTTGTGTGAGACAAAGAGTGCAACACCCTCTGATCTTTCCTGCAGAAAGTGCCCGTCACAAAAGAGGAAGAAGAACCGGAGGAAGAGGACGAAGAAGAAATGGGCCACGCGGAGACCTACGCCGAATATATGCCCATAAAATGTACGTCTCCTCCGGCTTTTTAATCAACATTCACTATCCGAATGTCCAAGGTGGAGAAACGCCTCCTTACGCAACCCTTTTTGCCTTTTGTCCCGCAGTAAAAACCGGCTTGCGCCATCCTGATCCGGTGGTGGAAACCAGTTCCCTCTCCAGCGTGACCCCTCCTGAAGTATGGTACAAATCCTCCATTCCGGAAGAAAGCATCGACAGTGGTTGGCTTTCAGCCTTGCAGCTCGAAGCAATTACTTACGCGGCACAGGTACTGCCTTCGTCAGAGGCTAGCTACAAATTCGTGCCCATCCCAAAGCCCACCAAAAACTGAGACCGAAGACATGTTCTTGCCACAGATATTGTAATGTGTTTTGGTTGTGGCTCAGGGGTTAGAACGCAGGACCGCAGGCTACTTCTGCTGCCTGCCGGCTGCCTGCAATTTGGCAGTTCGATTCTCACCGGCTGAAGGTTGACTCAGCCTTCCGTCCTTCCGAGGTCGGTAAAACGAGGACCCAGGCTGTTGGGGGCAAGAGGCTGGCTCTGTAAACCGCTTAGAGAGGGCTGGAAAGCACTGTGAAGCGGCATATAAGTCTTAAGTGCTATTGCTATTTCTGTAAAAGCAGACTTTCTCCCATTAACAGATACCATGCTTAATTGGAAAATAGCCTAGATCAGGGCTTCTCAACCTGTGATCTGCAGACACCTGGGGGGCCGAAATGTCACAGGGTTCCGTAAAGACTTGAAGAAATGTTATGATTTAAATCTTGAGTGAAGTCTTGGGGGTCTGTGGCTACAAAAGGGGCTCCGTGTTGAAAAAAAGATTGGGAACCCCCTGACCTAGATAATCAATCTATAGAACACTCTTCCCATTCTCACGAAGCAACCTGTTTCCAAAATGTAACCTGTAGCTTATATATTACTTCTTGAATTCCTCCTAGTTTACTAAATTGACTACATATTGTATTTTTCGGGCTATAACAGGCACTTTTTGTCTCTCCCAAAAGTGGGTGAAAATGCCTGTGCACCTTATAGACCGAATATTGCTGAAGCACCGGCCATTTTTTGGCCTCTGCGCACCCTGTTTTCGGGCCTTTCTTGGGTCCTTTTTCCGGCCTGTTCTCAGGCCTTTTTTCAGCCCCCAAAATGGGCCAAAAAAAGCCTCAAAGCTGGTCAAAATGCCTCAGAAAAGGGCCAAAAAAAGGCCCGCAAAAAGGGCTAAAAATGGGGCACTTGGAGGCCAAAACCCTTTTTCCCCATCATATGCGTCATATAGTCAGGTGAGTCTTATAATCCGAAAAAATATGGTATTTCCCTCATACGTGCACCATGGCATTAAATGCCTTCTTTATATACCTTCACTGCTCTTATCCGTGTACTCTAGGCCACACGCTAAATAAATTCTGTCACTTCCCCGTAGCAACACGAGACATTCCTACCAAACGGAGACCGAGCTGGCTTTTTGATAGGCGACGGTGCCGGTGTAGGGAAAGGAAGGACCATCGCCGGCATCATTTATGAAAACTACCTCTTGGGTAGAAAAAGGGCAGTCTGGTAAGTCTCCCACTCGGGCATCGGGGTCGGTAGGGGGCTGTTCTCCTTGTCACTGGCTTTGTCTTCATGGTGGGCCTGTGTTGCCTTTGTCCTCTTCCAGGTTTAGCGTTTCAAACGACCTGAAATACGATGCCGAAAGGGACTTGAGAGACATTGGCGCCAAAAACATTTTGGTCCATTCATTAAACAAGGTGTGGAAATATTTTANCCCCCTAGAGTCGGGAACGACTAGCACATATGTGCGAGGGAAACGTTTACCTTTAACCTATAGGTAAATGAATATGAATAAACTGTAAAACTGGTCATATTCTGTATTGCAAAGATAATTGTTGGATTTTTTCCCCCCACTCTGAAATTAGTATGGCCGAAATGCGTTGGAAATAGTCATGAAGTCCATTGTGAATTTGGATTCCCCGCTAGTGTCTCCACCAGCAGATTATCCAGGAGAGTTTTTTAAAGGTAGGTTTTGTGGGGGCGTTTCCTCAGTCGTTGAAATAAAATTTTGAGAAGGCCCTTTTGAATTGAGATTGGATTGCTTCTTTATACTTCTCTCCAAAAAGCACAGCTAAGTTCCCTTAGGAGTTTCTGGGATGATTGTAGATTCTTATTTTCAACCAAAGACACCAAACATTCGTTTCTGATTAGGGCATTCCAGCCGTTTCATGATTCGATATTTGGGCAGGAGACATCTTGCCATCTCTTTCTGCTGCTAGATTTCTTTTTGAAGCCTGCAAGAGATCCTAATTTGTTTTCAATTTGGGGGTTCTGATTTGTATACCTCCTTATGCAGTTAGGGGCTGTCTTGTAAGGCTGAATTTAACCTCTCTTTTCCTTCCCAGATGTAAGGCAAGGTTTGATAGGTGTCGGCCTAATCAATGTCGAGGACCGGTCTGGAATTCTTACTCTTGACAAAGGTATTTCTTTTGGCAATTTCTTTCTGGAAGTATTTCTTTGTTACCTCACGCATAACTCAGATTTGGGGTTATTCTGCTCTTGCTCAGCACTGAGGGGTGGGAACAGACCCTGGTTGTTTTCTCACCAACCTCACCTCATTTCCTTTTTTTTTTTTAGATTATAACAATATTGGGAAATTCCTGAATCGGATCCTGGGCATGGAAGTCCACCAACAGAACGCGCTTTTCCAGTATTTCTCAGACACGCTAAACGCAGTCATCCACAATGCCAAGAAGAACGGGAGATACGACATGGGCATCTTAGGTGAGGAGGCATTTCCAGGGTGGGCAGTACAAGCTAGTCCTCGACTTACGGGCCACAACGGAGCCCAAAATCTATGTGGCTAAGTGAGACAGTTAAGTGAACACTTGGTGATCGATTCATATTTACGACGGTTGCAGTGTTCTGGGGTTATGCGATCTTTTGCGACTTCTGACGAGCACAGTCAATGGAGAAGCCAGGTTCACATAACAACCGCAGGGATTCACTTACTGGTGGGTAAGGAAGGTCGTAAGGTGGGGCAAGACTCACTTAACAACCGTCTCCCTTGGCAAAATAAATTTGGGGCTACACTGTGGTCGTACGTCAAGGACCTCCTTGTGTGATGTGTCAGACGCCGGTCTCATTCTTTCTTGTGGTTTTTTGTTTTCCCAGATTTGGGATCGGGAGATGAAAAAGTGAGGAAAGCAGACGCTAAAAAATTTCTAACCCCAGGCTATTCTACCTCTGGACATGTCGAATTGTACACCGTAAGTCCTCACTTTCAGTGAGTAAACATTGTAACAAGACAGTTCAGCAGATTCATCACCATTTAACTTCCAGATAAGCAAGATTAATGAGAGAGTGAAAGTCTTGTAAAAATGAAACTAATTAAAAAGCTTCTGCTGGCCGATTGTAAAACAAGTGAT